AGTACACTACCCCCCCAAGCCTAAGGATGAAAGACGAAGGGGTTTTACGTGGAAAAGGCTCGGGGACATTTAGGGTTTAAAATATAGGGGGATGTGCATTTTCGGGAGTCGCGTCGAGTAGATAGTGACCGTTGCATGCTACCGCCGCCCTAGGGTTTCGCGCCTTGGGGTTGTGTCGTTTGGCGTGCAGATGCATTTGTTGTGAGCCTCTTGGGTTGCCGCGAGTGAGTTATATAAGGTGTTGAGGTGGGGCTCTTTTCTTCGTGCTTTCTCTTCATCGCCTCTGTAGCTTTTCTTCTCTGAGCCGAATACTCCTAAAAGGTTGGTTTTATTTTTGATCTTAGTGATAATGGCCACCGAAGGTGTCACATTGTCGTCAGGGTCCTCGGCCAGTGAGGGGGGATCGGCCCAAAATCCGGATGCCGAGATCTTGGCGTTTAACGCCGAAGTAGAGACGGTTGGGGTTCTCGTTGAGTCGGGCCCAGAGCGTAGTGGGGAATCGGGGAGTTCCTCTGGGTCGGAATTGCCCGATGCCGAAATGAGTCCCGGGGATTTTAGGCAAAAATTTCCCCCCTGTGAGATCCCCGGGTACGATTGGGTTGACGGTGAAGTGGCGGCCTATTTCTCTCGTTTTCATGAGAGGGCCGCCGTGATACGCCTTCTTAGCCTTTGCACGTTGGGCCGATGGGAAGGTTGGGACCCTTATCCGATCATGCTTCGACGATGCCGAGCCGAAGGCCCTGGGGAACTCGATCTGGTTTTCCTTGCGAAGCGGGAAGATCAGGGGGATTTCTTTTACATGTACGAGTGTTTCTTTCGGGAGTTAGGGATGTCGCTTCCTTTTGATGATTTTCAGATGGGGGTCCTTCGTGTATTAAACGTAGCTCCGACCCAGTTGCACCCGAACGCGTGGGCTTATATGCAAGCGTTTCGGGTGTTATGTAAATACCATTATGTAGAGCCGACTGTAGGTTTGTTTTTGCATTTTTTCTGTACACGTCCGTCTAATAAGACGATGAAGTGGTTGTCGCTGATTCGGAACCCCGACCGACCGCTATTGACGCCCTTTACATCGTCCTTTAAGGGCTTCAAATCAGGGTTTGTGAAGGTGATCATAGACCCTGTAGTCGGCAAAAATTATTTTTACGATGCCGATGGGGAGCCTCTTTTTCACTTCTATTGGACTCGTCAACCTCGGAAGTACGATGACTTCCCCGAGGATATGATGACCGATGCCGAGCTGTCGGCCTTAAACGTTCTTAAGGGATTGCCGAGGTGCATCCCGTCTCGGTTTCTGGTGCTGCTTCCCAAATCGCCTCGGCCTCGTTTCGAGCTAGAGGGTATGTGTTGTTTTATCTCTTTTTGCTCGTGCTTGTTAGGTTGATTTGTGACTTGGTGTATTTTTGCAGGTTGGATGGCGCAACAAGGATTGGGCTTGTCTTATCGGCAGTTGATGAGGAACAGGGCTCCGGCTGGGTCCTCTGCCGAAGATCATCGCAGTGTCGCGATTGATCCCCAGCCTCAAGTGATGGAGGCTCCCCGACCGGCGCCCCCTGTTATCGCTCTTCCCGATCCGAAGAGCAGGAAGAGAAAAGACAAAGGGAAGAGAAGAACTGACGCAGCTGGTCCGGAGGTGTCGCAGCCGAAGCAGCGCAGGGTTGAAGGGTCTTCGTCGGATTTGGCGGTCCCGTCGGTCATTGTGGCCAAAGATTTTCTGTCTGAAGAGATCCGGCCGGCGAGGATGATGTCTTCAGATTTGCTGTCGGCTCATGGTCACACGATGCTCGACTCGGCCTCTCCCTCGGCACGGTGGGCTATGGCCTGTGAATTACATGTTCGGGCAACTGCCATTTTTAGGAAGATGGCTTTGGAGCCGATGGGCGATCTTCATAACCTCCAGAAGAATTTGGAGGACACTAAGGCGACCCTTCAACAATCCCTGTCGGCACAAGAGGCGCTTTCCAATGACAAGGCAGCGTCCGATGCTGAGATTGCCCGACTGGAGGTAGCTTTTGCGGAGATGGAGGCTCGGGCCTTGGCGGCTGAGGAGGCAAGAGTCCAAGAGGTGGAAGAGGCCGCTGCTCGGGAGCAGCAAACGAAGGCCGAGGCCGACGCTGCTATGGCTGCTTTCCGGGCCGAGTGTGAGGGCAAGATTGTGAAGGAGCATGAGGAAGGGTTTTGGCACGCCGTTCGGCAAGCAACCCACTTCGGCGCTTTTCCCTCTGACTTTTCTTTTGAATTGAGCAAAGACTTCTTTCAGGGAGAGTTTATGGATTTTGCCGAGGCGCCGGATGACCTTGAGCCGGATAATGCAGCCCCACCTCGATCAGCCCCCGCCGAAGACCCTGGGACCACTTTGAATGATGATGACGAGACCGAGCAGACCACCAATGCCGATTAGGCAGCTTTTGTTCTTTGCTTTTTGATTCATATATCTGTTTTGTTGATGATGTATAGATATAGGGATACTTTTTTCTTTTGATTATTGTAGGCCATTTGAGCCGTAGAACCGTTGTACTCTTCGGCTGTTAGTGCCGCCTGTGGCTTCAAAGCCCTTAATGAATTTCATGTTTTCTTATTTCGGATTGTCTTTCTTGTTATGCGGCTATGTACTTGACTTTGTTCTTTGACATGATCGAAACGAGTTATTATCTTCGGCCGAATAATATTTGTTCGGATAAGAGGTTTAACACCTTTGTCAAGTTTTCATGCTTCGCCGAGCGGGAGTGCTTCGGGATAGAGTTGTCCTTTTTCGTCCTTGGCCGAGCGAGGTTGCTCGGGAGGGAATATAGTGAAGGTTCTTGGGTTGCTAGGTACTGAGAAGGCAGATGGTTTTGAGCTGGGCGGAGATGAAATTTTGAGGTTTAAGGGCAGAATTTGCCTACCTCATGATTTTGAGCTGAAGAAAGCAGTTCGGGAGGAAGGCCACAAGAGTAGACTTAGCATACATCCTGGTATGACTAAGATGTACCAAGACCTCGAGAAGACTTTCTGGTGGTATGGTATGAAGAGGGACATAGCTGAATATGTGGCGGCCTGTCTGACCTGTCAAAAGGCACAGGTGGAGAATCAAAAGCCGGGTGGTTTGTTACAACAGATGGAGATTCCGGAGTGGAAGTGAGACAGTATCACTAAGGATTTCATTGTGGGATTACCTAGGTCGGCTAGGAATAGTGATGATATTTGGGTGATTGTTGATCGGTTGACCAAGTGTGCACATTTCTTGTCTGTCAATATCAAGTGGTCCTTGAAGAAGCTGACACAGTTGTATGTGAGGGAAATAATACGGTTGCACGGGGTGCCTTCTAGTATTATTTCAGACAGAGATCCAAGGTTCACTTCCAGATTTTGGCAGAGTCTACATCAAGTCTTAGGCATGAAGTTGAGGTTGAGTTCTACTTATCATCCCCAGAAGAATGGTCAGTCAGAGAGGACAATCCAGTTCTTGGAGGATTTGCTGAGGGCTTGTGTGTTAGACCACTTGGGAAGCTAGGAAGAAGTCCTATCGCTGGTGGAGTTCACGTACAATAATAGCTTTCATGCTAGTATTGGGATGATGTCGTTTGAAGCCTTGTATGGTAGGAGGTGTAAGACTCCTCTGTGCTGGTATCAAGATGATGAGTCAGTGGTTGTGGGGCCGGAGCTGATCCTACAGACTACTGTAGACCCCTAAAATTGTCCGGGTCGGAAATAAGACTCGAAGACTCTCAAAGATCGAAGGAAAGTCAGCCAGAAGGACTCCTAGAAGACCATAGGACGACTATCTGTAGGTTTAGAGGTCTTAGAGTAGCTAAAAATAAGGAAGTGGGAGGATTGGAGCTCAATACGGCCTCCTTGGAGTTCAGTACGGCCGTACTGCATATTTTGTACTACAATACGGTCGTACTGAAACCAATACGGCTGTATTGAAGTTTTTGAACTTCAATACGGTCGTACTGATTTCAATACGGCCGTATTGAAGTACAAAAACCGGAAAAATTGTTTGGGATATCCTGTTGAGTAATTATTTTATAATTTAAAATTTAAGTTAAATATTTAATTTAATTAATCTTTGTTTTATTTAATATTTGTAAGTTTCAAAAACAAAAACAAAAATTGTTTGAATTGCAGCATGCACGTAACCAATAGTCTCTTCTTTTTCAAATTGGTTATTAACCACGATACCTTTTATTTTTAACCGTAGGGTCTTGCTGTTACCAAAAATTGAGGTATCATGGTGCACTCCTTATTATGCATACAACATACTAATAGTGTACATATATATGACTTACGTACGTCAAGAACATAGACTCTCTACGCACACAGAAAACTCACATATCCTTCTTTATAAATTATTTTTTACTATTAATTTTGGAGCGGTGTTCTTTGGTTCGGGATCTTTCGCTGCATTCAAACGATCTAACAGATTGACATATCTTAGGAGAGGAGCACATTATAAGACTCAAAATTACCAGTGCAGTGGGAGCGTTTTCTCGGTATCCACATGTCTAGTATGATGGTGAAGGAGTTGGAGCTGGTGGAGGAATTCAGGAATTTGAATCTCTATGTGGAGCTAGCTCATGATCACATTAGTTGTGGGATGACTACCATAACTAGTGAGTTCTTGAGACATGTTGGATTGAAACAGTTGCAAGATCCTGAGATAGTGAAGGTTCTTGGGTTGCTAGGTACTGAGAAGGCAGATGGTTTTGAGCTGGGCGGAGATGAAATTTTGAGGTTTAAGGGCAGAATTTGCCTACCTCATGATTTTGAGCTGAAGAAAGCAGTTCGGGAGGAAGGCCACAAGAGTAGACTTAGCATACATCCTCTGCCCGAGCGAGGTTGCTCGGGAGGGAATCAAGTTTTGATTTGTAATTAAATTAGATGAATGATTCAAAAAGGGGCTTGTTTCATTGATATGGTGCCTCGTTAAAAACCTTTCCCAGAAAAACCTCTTTCACATTTTTATAAGAGGGCAAAACCTGAGAAAGGAAAAGAGTACACCGAAACAACTACAATTGTTAACTGAAATAATGTTTCAAATGCGTTGCGTTCCATGTTCGGGGAATAGCCTTTCCCGAAAGCTCTTCTAACTTGTAGGCTCCGTTCTTCAAGTTATGCATTATGCGAAAAGGGCTGTCCCAATTGGGTGCAAGTTTGCCCTGAGCTTTGTCCTTTCGTGCTTCTCCGGTAACTCGCCACACGAGATCCCCGGCTTGAAACTCCCTCGGTTTCACCTTGGTTCGAATTTTCTTTGCTAACCTGGTTCGACAGGCCTCCATGTTCACCAATGCTTGCTCTCGAGCTTCGTCCACCAAGTCCATCTCAACATTGAGTGTTTCCCGATTACTGTCCTCGTCAAATTGTGTTCGTCTGAGAGAAGGTTCTCCCACCTCAACTGGGATCATTGCATCCGTGCCGTAGGTTAGTCGAAAGGGGGTCTCCTTGGTTGAACTCTGAGGCGTGCACCGATATGCCCACAAGATTTCGGGTAGCTGGTCCGGCCATGTTCCTTTAGCCTGTCCGAGACGTCGTTTCAACTCTTTAAGGATAACCTTATTCGCTGCCTCGGCCTGACCATTGGACTGGGGGTGCTCCACCGAGGTCATTCTGTGCTTGATTCCTAATCCGTTCAAAAATTCATTGAAACGTCGATCAGTGAATTGCAGTCCGTTGTCCGTGATCAAGGCGTACGGGATCCCAAACCGGGTAACAACGTTTTTCCAAAAGAATTTTTGTATGTTGTTAGCCGTGATGGTGGCCAATGCTTCTGCTTCGATCCATTTTGTGAAGTGGTCGACGGCTACAACGAGGAACTTGACTTGGCCTTTTGCAGGTGGGAATGGTCCCAGAATGTCCATACCCCATATGGAAAACGGCCAAGGCGTGGCGATGGCGTGTAACCCCTCGGGGGGTTGGTGAGTTAAGGGTCCGTGCTGTTGACAGGGCTTGCATCGTTGAATGAAATTTGAACAGTTCGCAACCAGGGTTGGCCAATAGTACCCTGCTCGGAGAACCTTGGCTGCGAGGGTTCGGCCTCCCGAATGAGTTCCACATACGCCTTCATGGATTTCTCGCAGCACATAGTGCGCCTGGTCCGGTGTTAAACATTTCAACAGGGGGGTCGAGAATCCTCTTTTGTATAAGTCCCCCGCGATCAGGGTATATCGTGCCGCCGTAATCCTCATCTTTTTTGCCTCCAATGGGTCATCAGGTAATATTCCGGCTGTCAAGTACCCCTTTATTCCTGTCATCCAGTCAGGGCTTTCAGGCTGGACCTGTAAGCACTCTGGTTTGGCGATGCTGGGCTTTGGCAAATCCTGTTGTATCACACTTCGTAAGTGGCTGACTTTCTTGCTGCTGGCTAGCCTGGCCAATTGATCAGCTCTTACGTTGAGTTCCCGAGGCGTATGCTTGACTTGGACATCTTCGAAATCGGCCTTCAGCTTATTGAACGCATGAAAGTATAACAGTAGGGTCGGCTCTTTGATCTGGAAGGCGCCGCTGAGGTTGGTTCTTTGATTTGGAAGACGCCGCTGACCTGCCCTATTACTACTTGTGAGTCGCTCCAACATTGTATTCTTGAAATACCCAAGTCTTTTGCCAGTCGTAAGCCTGCCAAAAGGGCTTCATACTCGGCCTGGTTATTGGATGCTTTGAAACCGAAACGAAGTGACTGCTCGACAACTACGTGGCCCGGTCCTTCCAAGATGATACCCGCTCCACTGCCCTGTTGGTTTGACGATCCGTCTACATGCAAGGTCCAAAGGTGTGCGTCAGGGTTCACCGTCGACGTGAACTCGTTTAAGAAGTCGGCCAAGCTTTGCGCTTTTATGGGCCCACGTGGTTTGAATCGGATGTCGAACTGTGATAATTCGATGGACCAGGAGACCATTCGTCCCGCCAATTCGGGTTTTCGTAGAACCTTGGTTATGGGAGTGTCAGTTCGGACGAGCATACGGTGACTCTGAAAGTAATGCCTGAGGCGTCGGGAGGTGTGGACGAGGGCGAGGACCGTTTTCTCGAGATGTTGGTATCTAGTTTCGGCATCTTGCAGTACTCGGCTGATGAAATAAATCGGCATCTGTTCCGTTTTCTCTTGCACCAAGACGGTGCTGATGGCCTTGTCGGATACTGATATGTACATTATCATGTCCAGCTGGGGGTCGGGTTTAATCAACAACGGCGGGGTAGCGAGTATCGCCTTGAAGCTGTTGAAGGCTGACTCGCACTCGTCGGTCCACTTGAACTTGGTGGCTTTCTTTAGAAGGGACATAATGGGTCGTGATCTGTCTGCCATGTAGGGCAGGAACCGAGCCAATGAAGCTATTCGTCCTGCCAAGCGCTGTACTTCTTTGACATTAATCGGACTCTTCATGTTGATGATAGCCTGACATTTGTCAGGGTTAGCCTCTATCCCCCTTTGCGACAATATAAAGCCCAAAAACTTTCCCCCAGCTACTCCGAATGTGCATTTAGCCGGATTCAGTCGCATGTGATGGCACCGTACTTCGTCAAAGATGGAGCATAGGTCTCTGATGTGGTCGGGTCCAGAAGCGGATTTGATCACCATATCATCTACGTACACTTCCAGACTTGTCCCAATCTGGTTGCAGAAAATCTTGTCCATGAGCCTCTGATAGGTTGCCCCCGCGTTTTTCAAGCCGAACGGCATTACCTTGTAACAATAGTTCGCTGAATCAGTGATGAATGCGGCTTTGGCTTCGTCCGGGGGGTACATGGGTATCTGATTATACCCGGAATAAGCGTCCAAGAAGCTTAGTCTAAAGTGGCCGGCCGCACCATCGACTAGTGCGTCGATGTGAGGGAGAGGGTACGCGTCCTTTGGGCATGCCTTATTGAGGTCGGTATAGTCAGTGCACATCCGCCACTTGCCGTTCGATTTCTTGACCATTACTACGTTGGCCAGCCAGGTGGAGTACCTGACTTCCCGAATGAAGCCTGCTTGTGACAACTTGGTTGTCTCCTCTTTGATTGCTTGGGCTCTTTCTCCACCCACCTTCCTCTTCTTCTGGGCAACGGGCTTGGCGTCCTTACACACAGAAAGCCGATGGTAATGGAAACTGGGATCAATTCCCGGCATGTCGGCGGCGGTCCAAGCGAACAAATCAGCGTACTATAATAGGACTTGTTTGATCTTACACGCATCCGTTTCGGATAGTTGGGAGCTCAGGAATGTAATCTGCCCCTCTTTCGTCCCGAGTTGAAAAGGAATTGTTGTTTCAATCGGTTCGACCCTGCCCTCGTCTGCCACTCTTGGGTCCAATTCCAAGTCATCAACTGGGTCGTGTTGGCTGGTGTCTCCGATGACATTAACATCTCGGGTAGGCCTCGGCGTTGGTTGAACTCTTAAGCTTGCAAAGTAGCACTCTCGAGCCGTTTTCTGGTCCGCGTGGAGGGTGATGATCGCTCCCTCTTCCGAGGGAAATTTCATGGCTAAGTGAGGCGTGGAAACGATGGCCCGGAGTTTGTTCAAGGATGGCCGGCCTAACAAGATGTTGTATGAAGCGTTGGCGTGTACAACCACATATCGGTCTTTGATTCTCCGCCTATGGTGGTCGTCCCCAAAGTAGGTGTACAGGTCGATTGTTCCCCTGGTATCCACTCGTTCACCAGATACTCCGATCAACAGCTCACCATAGGGTATTCATTCTTGTTCGGCAATGCCGAGCTGTTCAAATGTTTTCCAATATAAAATATCGGCCGAGCTTCCTTGATCAACCAACGTCTTCTTAACCATGCAATTATTGATCTCGACACTGATGACCATTGGGTCATCCTGTATCGGGTCTACCCCTTTGAAGTCTCGGTCGGTAAATGTGATAGGAGGCATGTGAATGGTTGCCCTTCCCACGGCATTTACCGACTTGATTGCTCTTAAGTGCCTTCTTCGGGAGGAGGATGTGCTTCCCCCTCCCGCGAATCCTCCGGAAATTGTATTTATCACCCTCCTAGGTTGATTTCGTTCGGGCTGCCGGTCACTTCTTTCGGGGGTCCTGCTTCTTTCCTTAGATCGATGCCTCGGGGGTGCTCTGTCGCTGTTTCCTCTCCTTTCCCGAGAGTTGTCATATCTCCTCCTTCCCGATGGTTGGGTGAAGTTCTGGAGATGGCCAGACTTGACAAGGTCCTCAATGCGGTCTCGGAGAGCCGTGCATTCCTCGGTGGTGTGTCCTCTGTTTCTGTGGAAATGGCATGCCTTGGTTTTATCCGCGTGGGGCGGAGTCATAGCTTGGCGGGGGACTGCTAGGATTTCTGTGGCCAGCGCCTGCTCTAAGACCTTAGCTCTAGTGGCGTGTATTGCGTGTATCGGGGCCCCCTGTTGGCTTTTTCTCTGTCGATCATGTCCCTCGGGCGGGGCCTTGGGTTGTGCTCTTTTTCAGCTTCTTTCCTTCCTGGAAATGGGTCGGACCGGTTTTGATTTCGAAACTCGGCCAGCTCTTCCATTTGCATGTACTTGGTGGCTCTTTGCCGAAGCTCATCCAAATCTCTGGGAGGTTTTTTACATAAACTGTTCACGAAAGGGCCTGGCCGCAGTGCTGTGGTGAGGTGGTGCATGGCCACTGCGGGGTCTAGATTTCGAATGGACAAAGTCATCTTTCCGAACCTTTCCATGAATGCTCTAAGGGGCTCCTTCTTCTCTTGGCGGATATTAACCAGCGCGATTGAGGTAAGTTGATGCGGGCGACTCGTGGCGAACTGTATGGTGAAACGAGATGAGACGGTGGTGAAGGAATCGATCGATCCCGATGGGAGCCTCGTGAACCAGTTGAGCGCTGGTCCTTTCAGCGAGGTAGGAAAGACCTTGCACATGACAGCATCGTCGTCTGTATATAAACCGACTTGGGTGATGAATGCATCAACGTGTTCTTCGGGATCGGCGGTTCCATCATACTTTTCCAAGGTCAAATTCTTCCAATTGTCGGGTAACCGTGCTCCGGCGACGTCTGGGACGGTCGTTGCTGATCGAGGGAAGTGGTTATCACTCCCGCTGTGGGCTTAGGGTCTGTCGGCTCCTTGTACCATCCAGATGACTCTCCTAGGTCTCGTGTCGACTGAGCATTCAGAACATCATGGGACGGGCGCCATGATCGGTTATCACTTCGGAGCTCGGCATTCTCTTTCCTCAAGACTGATAGTTCGTGGGCATCTTTCTCTCGGAGCCTTCTAAGCTCCATCATTTCGGCCTTTAATTGCTCTATTGCCGACGAGGGGTTGGGTTGTTGGGATCGCACCACATATGATTCCTCCATTCCTTCCTCGTGTTGGTTGGTTGGCCGCGCTGGATTGTCTCGGGGCATCCCGTAAGGGTGTTCGGTGGCTACGTTCTCCTGCTGACTTCTCGTAAGTACCATCTTGCTGCGGGGTCGAAAACCGTTCTAGCTTCGGCCCCACGGTGGGCGCCAAAATGTTCCTGCGTAAGAACACTCGTCTCCTTACTCCTTCTTAAGCTGCCTTCGAGTCCTTCCGAACCTTCCGTGCCGACCGAATACTAACTCCGAATGGTGGGGAGGATACCTGCAAAGGCACTCCGACGATCAAGTCAGTGTTCGGTTTAGAGCAATAAATGTGCTAGTGGGAATAGTAACGTACCTCATTTATGTCACATCACCTGTATATTTATAGTGACATGTTTGGGCCTGGTGGGCCTTCATCCTTGGGATGTGGGTAATACGTGACTTAACCTTAATCCTGTCTTAATCTGGCCTGGTAATTAGTATCTTAGTAGGTATTTGGTTTGCCACGTATTCACCATGGGTTTTTCACTATGTTTTCGGCTAAGCATAAAGCCGAAGGGGTGTCCGGCCAAGCTTGGGACCGAAGGAGTGTTCGGCCAAGCTAGGTGCCGAGGGAGTGTTCGGCCAAGCTTGGGGCCGAAGGAGTATTCGGCCAAGCTTGGGGCCTAAAGGATGTTCTTGAGTAACATCACTTCTCTTTGGGTGTCTTTCCTAAGGGACCGAGAGAGTGTTCGGCCTAGCCTGAGGCCGAGAGGGTGTTCAGCTAGGTATGGTGCCGAAGGGGGTGCTGTGGTTCCTCGGTTCGGGCCCCCCCTTTCGGACTATAGTCTGACCGAGGGGGGGCCAATTGGTATGGCTCTTCGGTTCGGGCCTCCCTTTCGGCCTATTGCCTGACCGAAAGGGGGTGTTTTATTAGTTTAGGTACCCCTCTCGGCTTATTTCGTGACCGAAGGGGTACCCACCAGTATACTTAATATGCGTATGTTTGGTAAGATATATATTATTTATAAGAAACAATTTCTGTTTTATTATAGTTCTTTGAAACAGTTAACAAAAATAAGTTTACATGTTTATTTTAAATAAGCTAGACCAAATATACTCTAATTAATAAGAAAAATATTTTCCTCTTTAATAAGTTTTACATAAGTTCTAATTAATAATAAAAATAAGTTTAAGAGTACTTCGGTAGCATATTTCAAAAGCTATGATATATGAAAGATGAGTGGATGGTCGGTTTGGCAATTGCAGATATTAGTATCAAATTAATATATGGTCTTTGCAGTTGCAGATCAAATTGACTACACCATGGACATAAATAATTTTACTGAAAAGGTCGAAAGAATCTTCTTGAATTGACTACATATTAATTTCTCTTGGAGAAAATAATATATCAATCCACTGTTTCTCTGCATTAAGCACTGTACCGCACCACCCCAGAAAGGCGAATGGGGTGCCTTAGCCATTTCGAAAGCGACTAGATTTTGTTGCAAAATTAGGAAATATCTCGTACGGCTACTTTCGTTAAATAGGTCAAATGTTGAAAAAAAATCTTATATATATATATATATATGTATATAAAGTATATTTTAATAATAAAATATTTTATTTCATTGAATATTAATAAATTAAAAATTAATGATTAATAATCAATTTAAAATAAATAATAATATCATAATTGAGCACTATTTAAGAAAGTAATTAATATTATATTAAGACAAGTGTGATAGTATATATAAAAAAAAAAGATATGATTTTATGGGAATTAAAATAAGATGCGATTTTATGAAAGTAAGAAATATATTAGAAGAAAGTCAATATATTTGTCAAATTACATATCTTACGAGGATTTCCAATATCACGATTTCTAATTTTCTACTCACTTGTTCCTAATTCTTCTACCATTCTGTTGCAAAACAACAATGAAAAGGAAATTAAAACAGAGTAATATATCCCGTTTATTACTTGAAACTACGGTTTACAAAACATTAGATGAATTTAAATACACTCGTATAGAAACAGGATTTAATAAACGTAATTTTTATAACTTCACATAATTATATGTAACTTTTTTCTATAAGTACACTCGGCGTAAGTGTGTACAGTTAATATTAACATCAGCATCATATATAAATATTAATTACATGAGGATGAATATTCTGGTTGAAAAATGAAAGTTATCCTATCTGTCAATTCATTAGTGTTACTAAAGTGAGTTGGAACGTTGAAAAAATGGCCCAAATACATTGAATATGCTTTTTGAACAGTATTTATGTATAACATATATAGCACTCCATCGGTCTTTTTACATTTAATATTTTCGTTTAAATTTTTCTGAATTTACATATAACAAAATGACACTATACAGAAGTTCAAACTTTATACACTATTAATATAACAATTTTTAGAATTTAATTTTAGTACGGAATTTAATATAACTATCCTTAAATTTATCATAAATAGCAATACATAATTGAATAATAATATGAACACGAGTAAATTACATACAACCTACGAGGTTTGGTAAAATTGCAAATACATACCTTATTTTTTTCTATATCCTAATGTTAACCCTTAATTATTTATAAAACATTACACAAGGAAAAGAAAGATTACGTATATATAATCTCATAAAATCAATATGATTTATTCTATAAACAAATTTTCCACGTTTTCTAATTCTTTGTAGAATTATTATAGATTAAAAGAAGTTAAAATAACGTTAAGAAAGAGAAAAATGCTTAAAAAGAAGAAATAGATTTGTGGGTCGATAGTACATATAAACATGCGACGAAGACAATGAGAAGCTAGTTCGTAACGCCTCTCTATCTTTCTCTCACCCTTCATGCATCATAAACTCTCTCTTGTTTTCTTTGTGAAGCAATAACACACATATATAGCCATGGTTGTTCTTTCGCACCCTGCTGCATTAAACGAGTTATTCCTCGTGAAAGCATCATGCAAGCCCTCGAGCATGTTCACGGGTGTTCCAGTGGTTGATCTCGCACACCCTGAGGCCAAGACGCTCATGGTTGAGGCCTGCCAACACGTTGGTTTCTTCAAGCTCGTTAACCATGGTGTTCCCTTGGAGTTGATGACTAGTTTGGAGAATGAAGCTTTAAAGTTTTTCGTGCAACCCCAGTTCCACAAGGATAAGGCTGGACCTCCCGATCCTTATGGATATGGCAGCAAGAGAATCGGCACCAACGGTGACATGGGTTGGCTTGAGTACCTTCTCTTCACCACCAACCCTGAAGTCGTATCCCCCAAGACACTTTTCCTTCTTCACCAAAACCCACAAAGTTTTCGGTAATTGATCATATCTTTTCAAAACAGAGTCCCCTGGTGTTTATCTTTTTTTTTTTTTTATGTATTTATAAATTTTGAATAAAGCATGGTGATATTTTTGTTAAGAGTGCGTGTGATATTGTTTAACTTTGAAGGAGTGGTGTGGAGGAGTATACAAGGGCAGTGAAGAAGGTGTGCAGTGAAGTGTTGGAACTAATGGGTGATGGGTTGGGGATTGGATCAAGGGAAGTGTTTAGCAGGCTGATAAGGGATGAGAGAAGTGATAGCTGCTTGAGGATTAATCGTTACCCAGCATGTCCAGAGCTGAGTGTTGAAGTAGAAGCATTGAGTGGACGAAATTTGATTGGGTTTGGAGAGCACACAGACCCACAAATAATATCTGTCCTCAGATCCAACAACACATCAGGACTGCAAATATGTCTCCAAGATGGGACTTGGGTTTCCATCCCTCCTGATCACACTTCCTTCTTCCTCGGTGTTGGTGACCTCTTACAGGTACAATACCCATTTCAACACTTTCCTATAACTTTGATTATTATAAAAATTAATATGTTTGTTGTGTATGATAGTTTATAATTGAATGATGGTTGATATTAAAACGTTTATATTATTCTATAAATATTTGTAAAAGCAATATATGTATGGATGAGTAATGTGAAGAAATTATCAAAATATAGAAGTTGTGAAGAAGAGGAATAAAAAATGAATTATGAAAATGTATACAAAAGTATATAATACGATTTTATTAAGACGATCAATGTGATAGAAAGAGCGAGAAATCATAAAAAAAAAATTTATTAAAATACATAACAAATATTCATTTCTTTTATAATAAATGTCACATATATAAAAAAAAGTTAATAAATAGATGAAAGAAGATAATAATTTTACAAACTTAATCTTATTACTAATTTTTACTAGAAACAATGTAATACAATAACTAATTTCTACATAAGATTATTATAGGTATAAATAAAAATTTGGTAACTAATATTGTGGTTCTTTATTTAAACTTAAAAATAGGTATTTTAAACCAAATGCTTTTAAATTTTATTTTTAAGAAGTAGATAAAAGTTGTCTTTTAAAAAGAATAAAAAATTGTTTATTCTAAAAAAATAAGTTTAGACAAACACGTAAAAAAAATGTTTATTTTATTAAAAAGGAAGTGCTTTTAGAATAAAAAGAAATTAAATCAACAGAGTCATTATATTGAAAATTTAAGATGATATTTATTTTGAAATGCATTTTTCCTTTTAATATAACATGTATTTTATTATGGTATACTGAGGGAGTAATACAATTCTGTATAAGAAATTGTTTCTATCTCCCTACAAGTCAATCGTTTTTTCATATCATAATCTGCCAGCCATTAATTTGTTGTTTTACTCGGATGTGGCATTGCATGTGGATCACCTGGGAATTTTCACCAAAGGGTAATTTGGATTATGTGATTAAAAATGTAAATTTGGTTCAGGTGATGACGAATGGGAGGTTTAAAAGTGTTAAGCACAGGGTATTGGCTGACTCAAGCATGTCAAGATTGTCAATGATATACTTTGGAGGACCACCCTTGAATGAAAAGATTGCTCCTTTACCTTCTCTCATGTCAAGTGAAGAAGAAAGTTTGTATAGAGAGTTGACATGGCGAGAATACAAGAGTGCTGCCTACAAGTCAAGGCTTTCTGATAATAGGCTCTCTCTCTTTCACAAATCTCCCACTGCTACTCACTAGTCAGTGACTCATATCTCCATTGGTCACAACAGGTTTCAAAGACTTGACTATACCATTGTTTTCTTCCATTCTCTTGTCGATAGCACTTTGTGGTGCATGCCTCAATGCAACTCAAGCTCTCTACCATGATGTGATCTTATGTTACATGTTTAATAAATTTTCTTTTGCCACCCAAGTTTCTTTGATTTTTTATTCAATAAAAATAAAACTCGGTTCCTTAATTACTAGAGAGTTAGCAATTATATTGATTTGCCTCCTAGGAAATTCAAATTCAAAATCTGTATCTAAAGAAAGTACACTCTTAATTACCTTTAGAAGAAAAAAATGGGTTACCAGGTTAAAGGAATTATAAGTAAGCTTTTGGAAAATTTCAATTAAAAATTTATTATCCACTTGACTATGGTCGTGAAATAGTTGCACTAAGGCCTAAGCTTTAGCAAATCTGTGATGAGTTTGAGAATTAGATTGTGGCTTTCGCAAATCAATTTGAAATTAATACGTTGTTTTTAGGTAATCGTTTTTTCTTTTCAATAAATTTTCAAGTTTTTGGTGAAGAAAGTAAATATTCTTTGAAAATGAATTGAATGAGGAAAAGTGGAAATAATTAGAATGACACTAGCAAAGCCTCATAACATGATATTCTAAAATGATAAATGAGGAAATAATTAGAATGACAAAATTTTATTGTGTTACTGAACATGATTGTAATTAAGAATTGGATATAAGATTATAATGTGTTGAATTTAAGACTAAATTATTTAATTAGTGTTTGAGTTTGGTTCCTAACGAAAATAATTCTTAGTCAAATTTTATTTACCTTTTAATCAAGTCATATAAGTATAAGACAAAATCTCTGGATATCAATGCAAATAAAAAAAAATTATTGGATATTTTATGTATAGTTGTGTGTTAGTGTGTTACTTTCATGAAAATTTTTAATGAGAAATCTTGATTTTCCACATTTAATAGTTATTTAAAATATACTCACTACAAGAAAATGACACATATAATGACACAATACGTGTCACTAAAAACTACTTTTACCCACACAATAAATATAATATATGTTAGTATATTATTAAAAAGTGTAAGTATAAACTATAGTACGTAACACACAAAATATGTTGTTAAATCTCATTCAAAATCAACACTAAAATTATATGTAGCTATATGTCAAATAGGTATATACTTATATATATTATACCTATAGTAGTGACACTTTTTGTATGTCACTATATGAAACATTTTTTGTAGTAAATCTTAAAAATTATTTTTATCTCGCTTTTCACAAAAATATTCTTATGTATATAAAAAGACTACAATCTTTTTTTTTTTTTAAATAGAAAACTTAATTAATATTTTTTATCCATTATTACTTGAAAAACAAACACGAAAACACATTAATTTTATTAACTAATTAAAATATAAATTAAATTAAATAACTTATTAGGCCATATTATTTTTTTTATCACTTTTAATTATATTATTTTAAAAAAATCAGTAGAACATTTCATGTATAAACTTTTAGTAAACTATTTTATTATATTTTTTTATTACTTATTCGGTATGAATTACTGTATGTTTTTAAATTACTTTTATCGTTAATCTAATAATAAAAATTAAATAATTATATAATTTTCATAAAATATGATATTTTATAGTTATTTAAAATTTATAAATTATAAAATTGCATTGCTAATTTTTTACTATAATTTTTAGCTTCTAAATTTAACAAAATATTTAAACAAAATACCGCTATATATATTATTGTTTTCTAGTTTACATAAATTTTAATTTTAATTATTATTTTGATTGTTAATTCAATTTTTTTCTTATTATGATAAATCATGACAACTATATTTTACATTTTGATTTATTATATTTTTGCATATAATGTAATTATATATAAATTGTTGATTTGTTATTCTAAGTTAAATATAATATATTATTTATGTTAAATTATGGCACAAGTATACCTTGTGAAGAAGAAAAATTTTAATTTTTTACAAAAAAAAAATATTTATATAATTAGGAAAATAATTTCGTAACTAAATGTGAAAATCTTTATTTTTTAGGAAACTTATATTAATATTTTTATGAATCTTTATGAATAACTAAACACATTTAAGTCATTCTCATGAATCATAATTCCTAGAGTTTATAATTACCAAAAATCATGATTCTCGAGTATAAATTTTTTCCCCCTACTAAACACCTCCTAAAAAAGTCATAACAAGGTTTTTAATTGATTATCCATTTATTTTCAAATAAAATCACTCAAAGCGAAATAAGAAAAGGTTAAAAATCAATTTGATAAAAATCGATTAAGATTAATTGTAATCCATTTATTTTGAGTTTTTTAAAGAAAATATTTATTTGCAAATAATAAATTATATATAAACTAAAGCAATTGATTGTTTTGCATGTGTTTAAAGGAAATTTAATTGTAAATAATCGATTATCTCATAAATAATCAATTATATTTTTTTAAAACAAATGAATATATCATTAAGATAATAAATTATTAGTTATTTTTATAAATAACAAATTCTGTTATCAGTTTTTCGAGGTCTCTACTGTTGCTAGCTTGCATGCTATTGCCATTTTCTTTTTCTAATAAGAGATATTAAAAAAAAAAATCTCATGTCAAATAAAGATAAGATAAATAAAATATAGTGAAAATAATTCTTATAAAATAAGTTGATTTTATAACATAACTCACAATTTAAATGAAGATATATGTGGTTTGCACTCTTTTCACTTAATATGACTGTTTACACAATTTTTTTTCTCTTAGTTTGCTTTCGACGAAAATACTGTAGATTTTTAATACATGGGAGGCGTATTCATTTCAAATGGGATATATATATATATATATATATATATATTTTGAGATATAAAAATTAAAATTATTTAATTGTGAATTCGTGGAAAACTATGAAAATGAGGTTATGATTTTTGCGGCCGCCCGAACATTTCTCCACACAAATCAACAAAAGAAGGATACGAAAAGCTTCTAACAAGTCATAATGAGATATAAGAGACATGTGCACATCTTTACCTATTCAAAACGAGAACAACAAAATTTTACTTTTACCTTATAAAAAGTTCATAAATCCAACATGTTAAGCGTTTTAAAATTACCATAAACTTTTACTACAAATATTTAATATAAATTTAAGCAATTCAATGATGAAATACTTTATATAATGCATACAGATTTAGATAGATGATTAATAAAACCTAAAATTTGAAAACAAATTATATTGTTATTATATTATATAATTTTAGTAACCATTAAAATGGATTTAACGATAAAAAATTTAAATATTATTCACAAAATTTTAAGTTCGAAGCATTGTCTACGTTGACAAGTTCTCAATCCCAATTCCAAATGTACAAGATTTACTTAGTGTGTGTTTGATTCAGATTTTTAATGTGATAAATCATGTTAGAATAGAAGTTATCGGTTATAACTTTTATGTTTTAAACGTAATTTTTACTTTGAATTACGTTTTGGACGTGTAACCAAACATACACTTAGAATCTTTTTCCGATGAAAAATAGGAAAGGAATCAACAGTTAGGTACCGAGAGGGAATTAAAAAAAATAATTAATGAATTTGTTTTAAATATAGTGAGGGATGAAGGAAAAACATGTGGAGTTTATGTATTTCAATTTGGGAGTTTAGAGTGTATACTCTGACTAGGATAGAGAGGAAACCTGTTTTTCTTTAAGAAGCTTTTGCTCTGGTTATCTTGTAATACTTCTTACATTTTTATTTTATAATTTAGTTGTTGGTTTATCATAACTCTAGTTGTTATCAATTAGTCTAACATATTCTGATGAATAAAAAAAGATATTGTATAATTTTGGTAATTAAGATAAAATGTAATTTTCTTTTAATAATTACATATATATAATGAACCTTCGTATTTATGAGGGCATTATTAATCTCAAAATTAATTATACTTTTAGTTTTTGAACTTTTACTAATTTTCTATTTTAATCACTAAACATATTTAATATTATAATAATAATAAAAAATGTTTATTTTGATTTAAATAAATTCACATATTAAGATTTTTATTAAATGGTTTAGAACATTTTTTTTCTAACTTGATAAGTTTTAATAAAAAGCTTCCTGACCTATATCTAAAGTAGGATAGGTTGTAGGTTTCTATCGATGACCTATTTCTATCCTAGTGAAGTGAAGAACCTAAAGAAGTAGATTAGCAAGGCTCCTATGCAAAGACTAATCCACTATGTTCCTTTTATTGTAATTTTTTAATATGATTATAGTGTCATATTGTCATTTTAACTTTATTATCTTTGATTTTGTCTCATCATAATTAATTTTTTCCATACTACTTTTTTTTTTTTATCCTTTCATGCATGTGAAGATATTATTTTGTCCCTACAAATTGTTTGGTCGGTCAATGCTCTTAATGAAACAGAAGGTCGAATGCATGAGTTATAAGGTTAGGACTAATGGACAAAAACTCAATCATAAACTTTGTCCATGATTGGCAACGGTTTGAGAATCCGATCATTCATCATTTGAGAAAAGTATTTTGTTATATGATCATTCCACAATTGTCAAACTAGCAAGTGAAGGAGTAAGGTTCAAATTAAACAGTTAAGATGAGAGCAAAATGATTGCCGAAAATAAAAGGTTCAGAGCTAGCATTTGTCAAAAAGCTGCCACAGAGCCATAGAGTTAAAGCGCCAGTCACATTCAGGTACATATAATTACCCCTCACATGTTCTCCAAATTATCCAAAGTTTCTGTTGCCAAATACAAGCTAAATAAATCACCGGAGAGTTCTCATTAAATGGGTCATGAGTTAATTATATGGGTAAAGTTGATATCATATCTTTATCTAAAAAATTAAAGGCATCAGGTATTTTTCTCATTTATATATTTGATGAATGATATTTTTATTGACATTTAGATATTTGCACCACCTTTAACTCTGACCTCGATTTCACTTGTTCTCTGTATTCCTATTGGATATGTTAAATTACTTCATGTAGAATAGACTGAATAGTACTTTATATATAGGTGTGTGTGGGTAAGAGAGTGATATTTATTTTTTATTTCTTCTTATCCTTATTACATCACTCATTTATTTTAGCAAAATAAAAGATAACATATTTAAAAGGAGAG